TATGATGAAGACATCACGCAGAGTTAGCAGCCTCTGAAACGTAGGTCTGAGACGCGCATCCGGTCACTGAAGAGTGAGACTAGAGCACACATCCTTTACAACCTCCGCTTCACATCCTAGAGTGAGGGGCACACTGAAGCTAGAGAGGCAATTTAGAAAAAAACGGAAAGAGAAATCTTAACAGACAGAAAGGCAGAGGGAGATCTATTTTTTTAGGCGGACTCTCACTCTGTTGCCCAGGCTGGAGTACAGTGGCTCTATCTCCATTCACCACAACCTCCGCCTCTCGGTTCAAGCACTTCTCCTGCCTCAGCTTCCCGAGTAGCTGGGATTACAGGCACATGCCACTGTATCGGCTAATTTTTGTATTTTTAGTAGAGACAGGGTTTCACCATCTTGGCCAGGATGGTCTCGAACTCCTGACCTCAGGTTATCCACCCGCCTCGGCCTCCTAAAGTGCTGGGATTACAGACGTGAGCCACCGTTCCCAGCTGATTTGTTTTTAAATCTTATTTTAGAATTAGATAGTAAAAATATAGGAAGAAAGTCACTTCAAAAGGTGATATTAGCTAAGAATATGAATGGGTTATTAAATATTTAAACTAATTCAAAGGTGTTAGACCCATAATGATGATGAAGGTTATTATAGAAGCAGATGATTCTTGGTGTTGGAGATCATTTACTCAGACCCTTGTATTTTAAAAGAAAGACTGAGACTAACAGAGTTGATTGATTTTTCTCAAAGGGAAAGCAGGGCTCAGAACCCAGTCCTCCCTCCTGCTGTCCCCACACCATTCTGTGTGGTTATTACCCTCTCCCCTAACTCTCCCCATCGTTTTCTGCTTGTTGCTGCTGGTTTCTTGGTGAAATCTGGATCAAGTAGATGGGTACCATTGGGGCAACGGTGGCCCAATCCCTATATACTGCCTTAAGCCTTGTCTGTGCTGAGCAGGTAAATATTTTTGTCCCCCGACTCTGCACCTGGATTTATTTGCTGTGAAACGCAGGGCCCATTCCTACCGACTATGAGCAATTTATTCTGTGGCTTCAGTCACTGCAGAAGGCAGAAACTTTTGGATACCACTCCCTTTGTGTGGCGTTAAAATCACGCTCCTCTTGGCTGGTGACGGTTTCTGTAGGAAGTGCGTGGTTTACTAGAGCAAAGGGGGAGACTCAGGCCAGATGTAGGCCTCCGTCTATCTCGTTCATGGTTTTACCCCAGTCCCCAGCTGGGGCGACCCAAGCACTCAATGAAGAAGTATCTACGCACGGGAGGAACGGTCCTCCTCAGGCTGAACAAAGAGCTGCCATGTCAGGGTGTACGATGGACTTTCTCGGCCCGTTAAACGCCTTGAAACTAAAACTTTAGTTATAACTTCAGAAAATTAACCTCTGTAAAGAATCAATAATATACTTTAAAATGTGCGTAATGCTGTTGGAATTTTCTTCTTATATTAAACCAAGAATGTCCTCTATTTACATAAACATCACTGTTGACCTGTTTATATGCTCTTCTACAGCTGTCTGTTAATACCATGACATCGTATTGTAAAAACAAACACAGCAACTCAGATGAGTTTATAATGAAATCACGCAGCAGTTAGAAACGTCATCCACAGGGACACAGCGTTCACTGCTGTGATTATGAAAGTTTATCACTCCCTACAAACGCATTTTCACTGTTATTTAGATTGTGTTAATGTGTCGTGTCATTATAATAAAACCCTTACTACTACACGTATTGTGGTTGTTCGACAGTCGTTAGCAACTATGAAACTGGGAAAATCCACCGAGCTGATTTGCCCATGAACTATCCCGGTTCATACGAAAACAGATCAAGAGGTTTGGGATCCTCTACAGGAAGACACTCACTTCCCCAAAATTTCAAGAGAGAGCACTGTCAGAAACGCACTCACCCAACAACGCATGATGAGGAACCCAAACTCTGGGAAGTACCCTTGGCCGTGCTCGAACTTGACCTGTCCTGCTCTCCTGTGCCGTCCACCTTCCCGTAGGAGCCCAGCCCTGAGCCCCAGCCACACCAGACCTCAATCTCCCTGAGGCCTGAGGTGCACGCAGCGGTGACTGTGCCTGGGACCACCTTAGCACCTGGAATGGTTTCTCAGACACAGGGACTTGGTCTCAGCTATTTTTGCATTTTCCACAACATGTATGTTGGAAGAATTTTGAATAAACAAAAGCCACTAGTTTTGAAAACAACTGACAGTGTTTTACAACGCAGGCTTCATTATCATTCAGGTGTGGCAGGGCAACAGGTCAGGAGGCAACTGTCATGGAAAAGAGTTTGTTACTTACAGATCCCAGGAGAAGGGCCGCACCCTGGGGACCACTCAGGGATGAACTGAGCCTGTCTGGAGGCAGAGGGGGCATGGGGATGAAAGGCAGGGGCCTTTCATGTGGCTTCCGGGGAAGGAACGGGTGAGCCAGGCTGAGCCTGCATGGGATTGGCTGGTATGGGCCTTGCTGCATGGGGGTTGCCCTTGCTGGCTGGTTCCAGGCCCTGAGGGGGAATCAGGGCAGGAGGGTGTGGCCCAGAGTGGTGAGAATCCATACAGGAGGTGGCGGGGTGGCCTCTGGGTTGGTCAGTTTGCATTTGAAAAGTGCTAGGTGAGTTGCCTGCTGTGTCGGAAAGAGAAATCCTGGGGGAGCAGCCCCTCCAGGAAGCCTCCCCCACTCACCACCCGAGGTTAAAGCATCAGATGCAGAAAATGACAAGGCCCAGCTAGTGCAGGCAGGTAGAGAGCCCTTTCCAGCCCTTAGCCTGGTGTGCTGCACCCTCCTGAGGCCATGTTTGATGCTGTGGTCTCGGGGAAGGGGTCTGAGATGGGTGTCCAGGTGACAGGCCGCACCCTGTCGCTCACTCCCCGAGGGGAACCTGACTCAGGAATCTCAATTCTCAGGGCCTCAGCCTCCTCGTGTGTGAAATGAAGGGGATGGAAGGGGTTGGACTGTGTGATTTCAATGACCCCTTCCAGCTTCCAGATTGCATGAGGCCCTGGAGCATAGAAAATCTATAATTCCGTGCTTGTCAAGGAACCCAGACTCAGGGCCACTAAATTCTAACAAAGTTATGATTCCCTCAGCCAAAGCCGTGGAGGCTGGGGAGGTTTGCATCCACGCATACTCCTAGGTGGACTCAGATGGGCCCTGGGTGAAGGCAGCTCTTCCCAGGGTGGCTTGCTGGCCTCCGCGGCGTGGACTCCTGGCACGAGTGCTATGGCCTACAACCCGGGCCATAGCAAAACCTTATGTAGAGACACTTTGCAGCTCCTAGAAAGATACGGTGCAGGGTGTTCACCCCTTCCTAGGGCAAGCTCTCTAGGAGGACCCGCAGGAGATGTTTCTCACAGGGCTTGGAACAGAAATAGAAGTGTTTACCTACACAGCTGGGCTTTGTTTATTTATTTATTCTGCTTGTTTGGTTTTTGTGTCTCCAGTGTGCCCTGCCTTGCTCCACTCCTTGAGAACCCAGCAGTCTCCAAGTCAGACCCAGGCTCACCTTCCGCAGGGCTGCGGCTTTTGGACCGACACTGGGGCTACTGCGCTTGGGCCCAGCTTCCTACCCCTCCTCCTCCTCCTTTCCTTCACCCAAACAGACACACTCACTGAGTGGCTTAGCTTTGGATTGAACATAGGTAAGTTTACTGACATCTTTTGGACATAAGATGGGGTATCATCAACAAGGAAATACTCCAGAGAGGTGACTTTGTTTAAATCAGAGCAAGCGACCGCATGAGAAGCTGACGTCAAGATGTAATAGACGCAGGGCTGAGCTGGGCGAGGAGCTGGAATTCACACAGAGACCTGTCTGTCTTTGCCACATAGGAATAAGTCACTTATTTTCTTTATGCTCCGTTTTCTTAATTCCAAAAGTTGAAGTAAACAACTTTCAGTCACCTTATATAATTATTTAAAATAATATTATTTTAGGAGTAGTTTCAAAATAAAATATAAGTATTCCTTAAAACTGTATTTCCATACACGAGGATCTACACGTCTAAGCATATTTACCAACCCCAGATCTGACACGACTAAGCCCGTGCGCACTTGCAGATCTGAGCCAAAACAAGGAACCAGGACGTCTTTTCATCCTATTAAAAAAAAGTGTGCACCTCGTGGGGAAGTCACAGATTTCCCTTCGAAACAATGTTCTACCCATGAGTAGGTCAGCGATTTCTAGAACCCTGTATTTCATCTTTTTCTTTTGAAAAAGAATTATGTGAGATACACTTAACAGCAATTTCTCAACAGATTGTAGGAGCAATGGCATGGGCTGGTTTGGGTTCTGATCCAACGCACTCTGATGACATGTGGTTATCAACGTGTTTGGCTCCACTCACTTAAAAACGGGCAACGCTGGGGGCGGGAGGAGTGCGGAGCGAGTGTTGGATGGGAACAGAGCTTGCTCCGGCTCGGGACGGTGGAAAAGTCCTGGAGGTGGTGCTGATGGCCGCACGACGTCAACAGACTTAATGTCGCTGAGCCGGGCACTGAAAAACGGTTGCAACTGCGAATCTCAAGCACATTTCACCATCATGTAGGAAAAAGCAAAAACAATTTCTTAAAGGGCAAACTGCAAGCTCTGGATGAGTTTTGATTCTCTTCACCCAAAACTTCACCTTTTAGTAACAGTAAAAATAAATGTAAGCTTCGTCCTATTTTCTCCCCTTCGCTTTTGCACTTGTAGAAAAATTACAGACGCCCTTCCCCTTAGTGGTGGAAACACACCTGGGAACAGGAGCATTAACTTTCCTTGGGCTCAACACATCCTCAAACACAAGATAAATTCAACTTTAACCAGACACGCTGACCTGCTCTTGGCACTACTGCCAGACCCGCGCTCATGATCCGTGAGATTCCACTCTGCCCGGAAAACAGCTTGCCCTGGCCACCCAAGCTCGGTCATGCCAGTGATTTCCCTGCAGTACATAAAACTGCCAAGCTCCCTGGGACCCCCATTTCCTGTGAGCCCCCCTTACCTTTCTGAGGAACAGTCTCTGTAGCTTCTTGTGTGGCAGCCTGATCATCATCTTGTGCTGTGTGGGACCCAGGGGGCAGGCTCCCCTTGCCAGCCGGCCATCCTGCCGGGGCAGTGCCACTCCTTTTATCACCTCCGGGGCTGCTGTGCCCACCCCCCCCACGTCACCAGGCAACCACTCCGCACGGCCCCCTTTCCTCCCCTCACCCCTTTCAGGCAGCCAGATTCCTGAGCCAGGAGTCCTGCCCCTCGTAGGCACCAGCTGTGAAGTGAGAACGCTCTGGCTGCAGACAAAACCCCTGCTTTGCAAACTCAGAAGCAAAGAAGAGAAGCCTAGAAAACCTCAGCCCCGAGGCTGGCCATCTCCTCCGATGCAAACGCCAAGTTACTCATGCTGCTCTGAATCCCAGCAGGCTGGAACACAACATCTGGCAGAAGCCGGCAAAGCAGCAGCGTCACGTGGAGGCAATCGAATGTCAGAAACCGTCAAAGACGCTCCGAGGGGCAGGCCTGAGGTCCCCCCACCACAACCTGCCCACCTGCCCACAGCCAGGCTGGAGCCTGCCTTAGCAGCACTTGAAAAGACACCTCAGTCCTTCTCTGTGTCATTTAAACTGAAAGGAGGAGGCAGTGGGAGGAGGAAGGGGAATGAAGATGGTTGCTTGTTTCTTTGGGTGGCGCTGGGTCAACGAATGCTCGTGGAGGGTGCAAGGATGGCATCACCCTTGTATTACCCCTTCAAATGATGCCTCCATAGCAGAGACAGGCAGGTGCACACACACACACACACACACGCGCGCGCGCACTCTCTTTACAACCTCCTCCCCGGCTAACTCAGAGTATGTCCCCTCTGGCTAACATAAACATTTGCTTTGCTTTCCTGATCAGAACTGAGTTCCCACGTTTCCAGAACATCAGCCCTTTCTTGCTGTCACTTGCCATCGAGCCCTGCCTTGGTGCCACCACAGGTTTTCAGGGCTCCGTGTGATTGGCAGCCGCTGAGTGCAGGCGGCAGGTTCAGAGTCAGACCCAGGACACTGGCGGAGAGTTTCCTTTGTTTATTGCTGGTGCTTCTTGTTAATACATAAACCTTCTCCTCTGAAAAGTACAGATGCAGCAGAAGAGATCTACCAACTGACAATCGCCTTTGAGGCGACAGACAACAGAGGCCACGGCTGAGGGTGCAGGCGTGGAAATAAACTGCAGTGAAAACACAGGACGTGAAAAGAAGAATCAAAGGTAAGAGGAAATTCAAGGCTGAAATGGATAGAAATCACCTTGATTTAGGGCAGTACAGCGCTGAGAGGGGGGGCCCTGTCCACCCCTTCCTTACTCCAAGACTTTGAGATAAAGAATATTTCCTTCCCAATCAGACAAAAATAGTTGAAGTATAATTGTCTTTTCTCAGGTGGTTGCTATTTCAGAAAACGGGTTCTAGCAAAACAGCCTTTCATCTACCCGGTGGCTTCCAGAGTACACACGGCGAATGTGCTTTCCCTCGAATGCAGAACTGATGGAAACTCATTTATCCATATCCAGACAAATGTTGCATTCGTGTATGAGAGTGTGTGTGTGTGTGTGCGCCTGCGAGTGCCTCTGTGTGCGCCTGTGTGTGTGGGCTACACAGACAGGTACATACTTTAAGTAAATAACGACTGAAGAGAGCTGTGGTCAGCCCTCCAGAGGGTCATTCTAAGCCATCATTTTTATTAACCCTACTTTCCACTATGGGAACTCAAGTTTTATTATTAAGAACCTACAATATAAAATTGTTGGAAACATATGCCATGCATCTGCCATTATATACACATTTTTTTCTGTTCTGGAGCAGTTGGCAAATAGGACATTCTAAGCAGAATGGTCACACTTGTGAGCTGTTACTTTGAGAAGAGAGCATGGTTCGTTCACAGGCCAAGTTATGGCAACAGAGGAAAATGCGCCTGTCTCCCCAAATTTCTCAATGACCTTTTGCCGCTTTTGCTGGCGCAAAATCGTAATACAGGGAGATTAATAGAAACGAAGGCTCTTTCTAGTCTCACCAAATTTCATACGTATTTTATTTGGGTCTCAACACTTGCTGGTGTGTTTCAGCCTTGACGTCTCTTTCTTGTCAAAGCATCAGGAGCTTTAAAACAATTCCAGTTCTATTTCTTTTCCCTAAAATGAACCCACATCCATATTTCACCTCTTTGAAAATGCTGGATCTTAAAATATATGTGCAGTGTTTCACAGAAAGAATCACTCCTGCTTCCTGGAAACGCGCCGGTGGCGTCTTCTCACAGCGTGTACTGTCAGCGGCAGCCTCAGCTCCGGCAGACCTGGCTGCAGCCCAGTCCGTGGCCTCGCCCGGGGCCGACACAGCGCCGTCCCCACCGTGGTACAGACAGGCTGCGCTTCGTGAAGCTCTGCTCACAGGATTTCCGAGTGTCGAAGGAGAACAACATAAAACATTTTCCTTAAAACTTGGCTCTGCGGCCCTTCCTAAATATTTTGTTTTAATTTAAAAATATATAGTTTTCAGGCTTGAGATTTGGAATTTTTTACTAAATTTTCGTTGGAGGGTGTGGTGTTGAGGCCCTGGATTTGTTTCAGATACACAGGAATAAAAATGGAAGGTTTCTTTCCGCTCTCTGTCACTTACTCAATTGCTTGGCAGAGATGTGTCGCTCCTGTGGGGAAATGTTCCCAGCTCAGGCAAATCAGTGGCATCCGGGAATGGCGATTTGGAGAGAGGAAGGTGGGCTCGTTTTGGTGAACAAATATTTTCTCAGGTTATTTTGCACACAGAGTAAAATAAAAGGCTTCTTAAGAAGCTGTGTAAACATCTTCTTTTAAGGGTACGTTGAGCTGGTCTAATCCCCAACGGAAAAAAACCCAGGAGTTAAGCAAAGCAATTGAACTGTATCAAAAATGAACTCACCAAAAAAAAGCTGCCTACTGAGCGTCAGAGTGACAAGATCACTGCAGAGCGCGTGAGCGCCGCCCCCATCACGGTCTGGCTTTAGACTGTGAGGACTTCGGGTCTGTTCTATTGATCCTGGCAACAGAAACTAGCATAGGTTAGATTAGCGCAAGCCACGGGAAAGCTTGCAACCTCGGCCAAAAATGCTCGTCTTTCCTGCACCACACATTTTGCTGGAATAGCTTGAAATAGCCTGCTCACTGGCAAGCCCTCTTCCCGTTTCCAACCTGACGGCAACGTGCATGGATGCTGAGTGGAGGAAAAGAGAAAAAGGGAATTGCATGGGGGAATGGAGAAGCCAGGGTCTGAAGGATCCTCACCCACAACCATCGGTTTTTGGTATCTGCATTTTCAGTGATCTTAAAAGCAATTTAGTCCAAACTTCCATAAGAATTAAAAGGGAATTTTCCAGGACTCGGTACTTCTGAAAGTGCACTAGCAAAACAGATCAGGCCTTTGGTCTCTGGGCAAATGGTGGTCATGTGGGTTTGCACTAGAAACTTCTCACGCTTAACGGCATTTAATCGCAGGTGGATAAGAGTTTTGAACTGAACGTTGTCATGGTGATAATGGCAAGAAACTGCCTTTTATTTTTACTTTTAGTTCCGAGACCTAGTCTCTCCGTGGCCCAGGCTGGAGTGCAGCGGCGTCGTGTCAGCTCACTGGGAACTCTGCCTCCCGGGTTCAAGCAATTCTCGTGCTTTAGCCTCTCAGTAGCTGGGATGGCAGGCACGCACCACCATGCCTGGCTCATGGTTGTATTTTTAGTAGAGACAGGATTTCACCCCGTTGGCAGGGCTGGTCTCAAACTCCTGACCTCGAGCGATCCACTTGCCTCAGCCTCCCAAAGTGCTGGGATTACAGGCATGAGCCACCACACCTGGCCACCTTCTATTTTATGCCATGGGAAATCATCATAACCACGTTGGCTTACTCATGTACCAAATCCATTTTTAAAGACATTATTCTGAAAAGGTCTCTGGCTAGTTGTGGAAAGCAGCCGTCACTGTTTGTTGGCTCCGGCTTTAAAAGCTTTGCTTTTGTCACCGTGTGAGCCTCCATCTTCCAGCCGCACACCCACATGCTCATGCCTGTTAGCCCGAGGAATAAACAAGCACCATACAGCGGAAGGCCTCTGTTTCGTGTTTCCATGAGACCAGCAGCATCTCAGCCCAGCAGCAATATTGTGTGTCTTCCTCTGAAAAACCCAGTTGTTCACTTCCATATCTTCGGTCCCAGGGAGGATCCGGCGGTGACATCAGCCTTACGTTGAAGACATCGCTGTAAGTGTGTTGCACCGTTCCCCCTCCTGGGCCCTAGGGAGATAGGAAGGTGGGATGGCCCGGCTGCGTCCTCCCCTTTGGGAATGGAGTGTAAGGGAAGCATCTCCTCGTGTCTGAGGCAGTGTGGATGGTACCAGCTATCCCCTGCACCCCAGCCTCACGGCGAGAACCAAGAGCCCGGGGAGGGGAGAGCTCCAGATGGGGCAGCCTTGTCTCCCAGCCCGTGGACCTCTGAGAATGTGGCTGAGGATAGCTCTGCCAGTGTCCTCGTGGGAAAGAAGTCGTGCAGACAGGAGTGGAAAGCATCACATGAAGGCCCTGGTGTCACCGCAGAGCTACACGGTCTGTCCCATCTGGACCAAGGCAAGTGGCAGAAACCTTAGGAACTGGTGTCACCCAAAGGAAACAGGCCCAAAGAGGCCACACAGCCTAGGCGCTAGGACGGCGGCATCCACGTGTCCTCCCCTCCCTCAATCTCCCTACATTTTATCACATTCTCACTCACACTCAAAACCAAATCTCTGACACTCTTTACCATCTAGCCATGTCGGCTCAACCTCAGCACCCTAAAGGCGATTGGTCTGCATGTGTGTGTGCATGCAGTGTGCGTGTGTGTGTTTGTGAATCTATGTGCATGTGTATGTTCATGCAGTGTGTGTGTCTATGTGCATGTGTATGTGCAGCACGCATGCATCTGTATGTCTATGTATGTGTGTGCATGCAGTATGCATGTGTATGTCTGTGTGCAGTGTGAATGTGTGTATGTCTATGTGCATGTGTATATGCAGCGTGCATGCATCTGTATGTCTATGTATGTGTGTGGATGCAGTATGCATGCATGTGTATGTCTATGTGCATGGGTGTGCATGCAGGTGCATGTGTGTTTGTATGTCTATGTGCATGTCTGTGCGTTTGTATGTCTATGTGTATGTGTGTGAATGCAGTGTTTGTATGTCTATGCATGTGTGTGCATGCAGTGTGCATGTGTGTTTGTATATCTTGTGCGTGTGTGTGCATGCAGTGTGTGTGCTTGTATGACTATGCACATGTGTGTATGCAGTGCGCACATTTGTATGGCTATCTGCATGTGTGTGTGCGCATGCTGTGTGTGTTTGTATGTCTATGCACATTTGTGCACATGCAGTGTGTGTGCGTGTTTGTACATGTGCATGTGTGTGCATGCAGTGTGCATACATGTTTGTATGTCTATGTGTATGTGTGTGTATACAGAGTGTGTGTATGCTCATATATCTATGTGCATGTTTGTGTGCATGCAGTGTGCATGTGTGTGTATGTCTATG